ACACACACACACACACACACACACACACACGCACACGCATTAAAAGCGCAGAAAAGTATTTTTTATAAGAAAGGGGTAGGAAGAAATTGATATATGAATATTGAAGATAAAAAAAGAGTTTTAAGTTAAGCAACAGGCTGAAAAATAAAATGGTAAAACGATCTGGTGTCAGCGTCATTAGGCTACACAGTATGGTGGAGGATAGGCCTACGTCACAGATAGGAACTGGGCCTAGGAACAATGCGGGCTGTCTTTCTCTCCAGGATGTGAGACCGCGGCACTGTGCTGATGTCACGCTTCCCCACCCCCTCACACCCTCCCCGCTCCGATATCTTCTTCAGTCACGTTAAAATCTGTCATGCCAAGGTCAGGGAAAAGGGTGAAGGACACGTAGAAGTAGGTGAAGGCGTGCTCAATTCTCTTGAAACCGACACACTTTGCGATTGGCACCTGGTTAGTTCAAACAAAAATCGAAAGACTGTTCCGTGTAGTATTGAATGAATCCTGTGCAATAGTGATTCAATGCAGTAGAGAGAATTGTTTTATAAATCACGATTTTGGGCTTATTTTCTTTTAGCATTCAATTTCGCGACGTCGCCATGAAAGAGTTGGGGCCTGCGTGCCGTAGTGCGATGTTCGTCTTCAATGGGTCGTCTGCTCAGTTTTGTTCTTGGTTCAATTGATTATTAATGAAGCCTTTCTCGTCGTGTTGACTCTCCACCGCTACCTTCTTCTACACCCTTTTCTAATTCTTTCTGTTCGTAGTTCTGCGATAATGTTCCTCTGTTTTAGAGCTGGGCGAAGAATCGGTTCAGGAACCGATTCCCGCGGTTATTTTTACGGAGGAAAGTTAAGATTCCTTTCTTGTAAATCAACGGTTACCAATTGCTTTATTAATTAAAACCTTTTTTTTAAAGAATTTTTTTTATAGTTTATGCCTCACAGTGTTTCAAATCAAGGCTATCCTAAATCCTGAAGCTGTTCGGAGCCAACCAGGAAACTAACGGAAGAAAGCACAAAATTAGAAAGTACATGTAATTGGATTCGGAGTCGATTCCTACGATTCCTAGCTTTCAATAATCGGGAACATAACTGCCTACCACTAGCTAGCCTACTTGTGCGAACTTTTCCCTGCTTCTGAGGTTGGCCCCAGGTCGGTTATGCGTGAGGAACAACAGTTCGCCTGCACGGAGAACAGTGACAAATTGTATCATGTTCTAGAGAAAAGAACGATGGCATGCGTTTTTGTCCCACCCCTACCCCAACCCCAGGTCGATTCTGCGGACATTTTAATGACCGAAAGCTGGAGAAAGTCTGGGGCGGAGGGGGGAGGGGGGGGAGG